TCCTCTTTTCTCTCACAAACAACTAAGATATCGCCCACATATCTCTTATAAAGTGACATGTTTCCGATTAGGTCATCAGTCTGATTTTCAACATGTGCCATGAACACATCGGCTAGTAATGGTCCTAGCGGACTACCCATAGCAACTTCATCAATCTGACGAAAGTATTCACCCTTAAAAGTGGACTGAACTTTGTCAGTACATAATAACAGTAAATGTTTAAGAAGTTTTACAGGTACACGTGATTGAAAATTGTTTACAGATATGCAATCACATAATATATCAATTGCTTTTTTCAAAGGTACATTTGTAAACAAGGAATTGACATCAAATGAACACATTGTTTTTTCTTTGATATTAATATCACTTAAATGATCAAACAGTTCAAAGGAATCCTTTAGAGAATACTTACATAGATGTCTTCGAATAGGGTCCAACAACTTTGTTAACCATTTAGCCAGATTATGTGTAGGTGATCTGCACATTGATAGAATTGGACGTAAAGGGACATTAGGTTTGTGAATTTTAGGTAGTCCATATAAATGAGGGTAGTCGGAACCCATAGGTTTTAGAAAATTAAATTCCTCTTTATTAATAATATTCACGAGTAGCAATTTTTCTAGGTCTGAATCTACTCTTCCTTCTAGTTTGTTAATACCTTCAAATTCAACATCAGGCATAAATTTACTTTCATCACTAAGGATGGATAACATCTTATTTTTATATTCACATTTATTCATGATAACTAAGCCTGACCCTTTATCAGGTTTTAACAAGATAATATCAGAGTTTGTTCGTAGTTTTTTTAATGATTCAAAATACTGAGAAGTTAATATGCTTCTCTGCTTTGGTCCAACATTATGAAATTGGTGCGCTATATCCACCAGTTTAGCTTTACACCAGCTTTGATTATTTAAAGACATAGGGGTTAGAGTACTCAGTTGATCATATAGATTTTCAAATTGGGCATTTATTTCCAATTAAGACATTTGCATTATAGGGACTGAGAAATTCAAACCAAGAGAAAGTGCTTTCTTTTCATTAGCAGATAATACAATGGAAGATAAATTAGTGACATACTTTTCAGGATTTACTGGGAATAACTTAGCTTGATTAGTAATAATACAAGATTTTTCGAGCTTTTTACTGATCCTTTCCTTTGTTTTCAAAATGACACTACTGCAAAAGTTGGTGAATTTAATATGGCAGACTATAGATATTTCATTTAATATAGGCAATGCTTGAGTGTGTAATTCAATTAAATTGATTTCGACATCCGAATAAGATTTGAAATATTTGGTTGTATTTTCTTGAACGTAAATTCTAGTATAGTTGATTTGGGAATATGTGACTCGACAAACAAGATTTATAGAAGTTCAGTTTCACGCGTTCCGATACCATTTTACATTTAAGGTTGACAAGTTCATCTAACCTTTTAATAGTATGTGCAGGGAGTCTTCTTTTAGAAATCTAAAACAATTAGTCAATTTGATAAATTTCGATATTGATATTATAAATGCACTTAACAAGTATATGTATGAACAGATTGTTTGAAATGTGTTGCGCTAATATATCACATAGTTCTGATAATCTTCGTCTTCCAATATCATTATCGAAATTTATCAAAAGGACTAATTGTTTTATCCATTTTGTCCGTTTTCAGTGTGGTTTTTAGTGTATTTTTACGGTCTTAGGCATTTGCAAGCATCCATAACATAGTTTGCTTCAACATAGTCATGAAAAACTCATGCAAACGTCCGGGATACCGTTTTGCTGTTACAACTGGCATGCAGTGGGACAACTGCAAAGGTTGGTTCCACGAACCGTGCACAGATCTGATGGCAACCGCTTACAATAGACTCAGCAAGTCGGACCAAAAGCAGGCATGTGTCACGTGCAGCACGGACGCTGTACTCTAGCTGAGTAACATCATCGTCTTACAGACAGTTCGTGACGATTCTCTCATAATCATGAATCACATTGACAATCCTGACCTTCCTCTCAGTCCGCAGGACAAAAATGATAGGATTCTCTGGGGTGGATTGAACGAGAAGCTCGAACTTCCTAGAATAGAGCCTCTGATGGTCACACGGCTCACTCGGGGAAAGGATTCTAAGCATCTAAGTTACTCGAGGCTTCTTCGAGTAACACTTAAGAATGCTACCGACGTAGAGGACGTCTTGCTAGCCAGTCACTTGCTGAAATCCGACAGGAATGTAAGAATATTGCCCGACATATCGTACTCTGAGCGCAATATCATACGGAACACCCCTTAAGAATCTCGCGAGGGGTCTTTCCGCGGAAGAAACATATTTGTGCAAGTTATGCCGAAAAATACGAACCCTACTCAATCAAACTCTGACATCAGGGAATGGAAATTCATCAAACAGTCCTTGAGGCTCAAACACATACTAACTCAGCATGTGACGAGACTAGCCAAGAAGGACGGTGATCTTAGACCCCGTCTAATGAAGATAACCTTCCCATCCTCCCACATGGCGGTTGCAACTCTGGAAGCATTTCGTGCAAACGGACGTCGATTGCCACCTGGAATCCACATGCATCCGGATAAGACATACGAAGCTAGGACCAAACACAAAGGCAAGTTGGTACTGACCATTCCACTTGTGGACTGTCTAGATGATAAAAAAACGTGTAAAGGAAAGGGCCTACCACCTCGGCAAACCTCATGTAGGTGGGCTACATGTCCATTCACGTATGGCTCATACAGACAAACAGGACGAAGCTCACGCGTTCCAAATAGAAAGCATAGACTGCTTATACATGAACCCCGCGAGTCTACCAAACAAATTGAATGAATTACGTGAACTTAACAATGCTAAGAAGGCCCATCTGATATGAATATCTGAAACCTGGATATCTTCTCAGTTCTCGGACCAAGAGTTAGCATTACCTGGGATGTCTTTGTTCCGCAACGACAGAAAATCAGGAATTGGGGGCGGAGTATCCGTATACATACGTTCTTGCTTGGGGGTGCACCAAGTTCATAACCTCGAGTTTAACAATCTTGAGGAATCCATATGGTACTCTGTAAGATTGTCTAGTACTTCGAGGTCTAGTCGGAGTCATTTACAAGAAGCCAACTGCCGACATCGAGTACGATAGTTGTATGCTGGGAGGACTATCCCGCTCTACTCGTCTCGGTTTCACACACATCCTGATTCTAGGGGACTAAGGTATCCCACCAATAACTTGCGTTGGAATTTTAAACGGTTGAAAGTGCCAATTCTACACAACTATCTACAACAGGTGGTTTGGGATGTTCACACTCAACTCGATGTGGACGGTCATCGGGACTTCTTACTGCATACACCCTTATGTGCTACAAACCGTTCAGTTTCTCAAACGGTTCCCAAAAGCTGCAAGCCACCTACAATAATCAAGAGCCGTACCCTTCGCCTGCTAAGTCGCAAAAGGCACTGTTGAGTGGAATACAAACGAACTGACAACGACGGAGCGTACAGGCAATTTAAACATGTAAGGAACATATGAACGAAAGCTATAAAAGAGGACAGGCTTCAGTACCAGACAAAGCTTATGGACAAATTTGTCTCTAATCCTAAAAGCTTATTCTGTTATGCAGCCTTTCTTCGTCAAGCCAAAACTGGAGTTTCCCAACTGCTAGGTCTTAACGGCCCGACCAACAACGATGGCGATGCCGCTAACCTTCTGGCTGAACATTACTCTCAGACATTTCAACCGATCCACATCAACTTTGCTGATGACAGTTTCATATGCAATTCTACAGGACTTACCGAAGTGAACCCAAGCTCTGACTTGGTGTTCCGGAAATTGCAGCACTTAGGATTAGACACTTCTCCTGGCCCGATTATGGTTCATCCTGCCATACTGAGGGAAGCAGCCTCAATCCTGGCAATTCCGCTTAGCGTGATGTTCTCAAACTCGCTAAGCCGAGGCAAACTACCGGAAACTTGGAAGTTGGCTCACATCACACCAATTTACAAAGGTGGTCGACGCAATGAACCTCCAAGTTATCGGCCGGTGGCTCTTCTTTCATTACCTCCAAAACTCCAGAGTCCCTGATATGCGATTGTTTAAACGACTATGATGTTAAACTTTGGAGAGAGATACGCAATTAAAACGATATACATGCACTTCGGGAGGATCTGACTCGACTCCAAAGTTGGGCAGATAATATTGGACTTACTTTTAACACTTCAAAGTGTAAAGTAGTTCATCTGCGACATGTCGCAAACTACAGTTACAACTTAGGAAACTCCCCTCTAGTGGTATCCCAAGTCGAAAAAGAATTGGGATTCCTGGTGCCCCATGTTTTTAAGTCTTACACTAACTGTGACAAAAATGCCTTCCGAGCAAACCTTGCACTGGTAACGTTGAGGCGCATGTTTGGACAGTTTGACGGACGAACTTTCCATATAATCTTCAACAGTTTTATCCGTCCCCATTTAGAGTACGGAAACATAGTATTTCGTCCCTCACTCCAAAAGGATAACGATATTTTGGAGCGTATCCAACGGCGAGCCACGAAATCAGTTCGAGGACTCAAATCTAAGCCTTACGAAGGGCGCCTCCATTCAATAGACCTTTACCCATTAGAGGTGATCTATTAATGGCTTATAATATTCTCAACACTTCTGGACATCCTCTTAAACACCTACTTAAGCTTAGTTCGAATAATAACCTAAGGGGTAACACCCAGAAACTGGAAACACAACATAGCAAGACGGAATGTAGACATAACTTCTACTCCTTAAGAGTTGTCAAAAGCTGGAATTCGCTGCCGGCCGAGCTAGTCCAAGCGACTTCTCAGGAGTAGTTCAAGAGGCAACTTGACCTATTCTTAAGGACCAAGGACAGCATCACACTATGATTTACCAATTTCTTTTTCCTCTTTTATTGTTAACATATCCAGGTTTCTGCCTGGAGGATTTGGTGATCCCCTGCTACTAGACGCGGAAGCGTGTTAAGCGAAAGCTTCTTCTATTCCGTCCACAAACATTTGAAGAAAGGCGGTTTAATTAGACGGCGCGTTACACTCTTACTCGTGATGTCATCGGTTCTAAAGAACAAGATTTTGAAACCATTTCTTAAGTAAGCATTGTATGTATTTAATGCTCACTTTGGTTCATCTGCCAAAACATATTAAAAGATAAACGACCTCTTGATCATAATATGATCAATAGACATATACATGGATTTATAATTAACGAAGAAATGTATGACTTTTTCCATCAAATTCCTGTCTATGTTTTCTGCTATAGGTTTTGTTGTTTTGTTATCGAGCGTTTCATGTGAAATTCTAAGTAAATCTTTTTACTTCAACGTAGGTAGAGGTTCTTGTGTTTGCGTAAGCGCTTCTGTGTGAAGTATAGCAGTAAGCCACATTTCAGCTTATATCTTTATTTTTACGGCTAGATCAGTAGATCCAGTTTATAAGATGAATTGAGTGGGTGTCTTTTCGTTTTCGCTCCCTTACCTGACCTGCTGAATCTGATTTAATGTCATAGTGACTTCAACCCCTTATATATGTTGCTGCGCAACGACTCCTGACATGATATGTGCTGTTTTCTCAACTTAAAACCATATTTTCTTTAAATGGCTGTGTCTTGTACATTCATGCTAATATCTACTTGGGGATACGGTCCTTCCTGTGGATCTCAAAAGTGTCACAAAAAAGGGTAGGACTCTAATTTATGGACGAGCCAATCAGAAGCGTCTAAGGAGTTTCAAGGTCACGGCGCTAAGTTCAATGCCAGATGCTCACATTCGATCGTTTTACAGCAGATTTTAGAGAATGGGTGATCGACCTTTGAACGAATTTTTTTAGCCAAATGGATGAAAAGCTTCCGCGTTAAAATCTAAGTTCTGTTGTCCTATACCTGATTGGTTCGTCCACAGAATTATATTCTCGCCGTTTTCTTTGTTATAGCCGCTCCCTTATCAGGTTTTGTACAAAATCCTTTGTGAACCCGTCGTACGTTAGCATTAAGCACTGAAGTTGGCGCCATAACCTTGAAATCCTTCCAACGATTCTGATTGGCTCGTCAATAAATTCGAGTTAGTGACACTTTAATTCATGGACGATTTTGAGCGACACTAAGAAAGATTTTGAGAATGTCCACCTACATACTACGGCTAAATGAGGGTTATAAACTAGTATGAGGAATTGAGAATAATATACAGTTGACAGGTAGGGTTACGAGTTAGATCTAGGGTTTTCATCACGAAATGACATCAGTTACTTTGTCATCCTTACCTAGTACCCGTTTCCTAACAACTGTATTACTTACTCGATGGTCCCAGGATATACAAGCAATGTTTCGAAGACATCTATGATCAAATACTAGTAACCTACGAATATCCTCTACTCTTACTGGCCATGTTTCATTGACATAAAGTAGGAAGGAACGAACTACTGCACAGTAAACACGTCCTTTGGTTGATAGACGGATATCTCTCCTACGCCATAAGTGACGCAAGTTGGAAAAAGCTAGTCGAGCTTTCTGTATCCGTGCTGAGATTTCGTCACATACCAGACCACAAGGGCTGATGAGGCTCCCAAAATAAGTGAAGCGGTCGACACGCTCAACTACTTCACTCCCTATCACTAGTTCGAGTGTCGATGCAACCCAATCCTGAAGCAACATTTTGCATTTCGAGGGGAGAATCGCATCCGGAACATGCTTGCATTGTTGCTTAGAGTGGTCAGAAGACTGCATTTTGTCAGCGTTTCCACCAAATAGAACGACGTCATCGGCATATTCTAAGTCAACAAGTGAATCTCCCGGTAGAAGTCTAACCCCTCGAAATTTAGGTGAGGAAAGTGTTATCTCTAAAAGCACGTCAACGACAAAGTTGAACAAGAATGGAGAGAGTGAACAGCCCTGGAGAACACCACTTGAGGTAATCAATTCTGATGACAGTTCGCCATAAGCTCTCACTCGACCAGTTGTGTTCGAGTAGAGAGCTTTTACAAGGTTAATGTGCTTTTTTGGTACTCCTTTCAGTGACAAACACTGCCATAGAACCTCACGATCAACAGAGTCGAATGCCTCCTTAAGGTCGAGAAATACTATGATTGTGGGGCATCTGAATGTGTGTCTATGTTCTAGGACCTGATGTAGTGTGAATATCTGGTCTATACAGCCACGTCCAGGTCGAAAACCAGCCTGGTTTCTTCTAGTCCGCTCTTCACGAGCTTTAGTTAGGCGTCGAAGTATTATTGAAGCTAATATTTTAGACACCATATTAGTCAGACTGATTCCTGTGTGATTGTCACAAGAGGACTTTTGTCCTTTCTTGTAGACTGGCACAATCAGTGATTGAGACCAGTCAGATGGGATTGCGTCCGGTTCCAAAATTCTACCTAAGACCTCAGTTAATCTCACTGCTAATACTGGACCACCATCCTTAAAAATCTCAGGACTAAACCTGTCAGGGCCTGCTGCTTTCCCTCGCTTCAGATTTCCTGTAGCTTTCTCAACTTCGTAAAGAGTCGGAGGATTTATATTAACTTTCCATCCAGGTCAACTGGAGATCGTGGGAAACCGAAGTGTGGCTAAAAGCCAGTTGAACTGATCCCTAAAGTGTTCTGCCCATCGATCCAATCTCCTGGATTGAGAATGTATAATATGTCCATCTTTTTCTGAGATAGTTTCGATAACAGTCAGGTTCCTAATACCGGTTTCCTTAATAAGTCTGAACAGTTGTCTGCTATTACCTATTGCCGCTGCCTTTTCCATCTCTCTTGCTTTCGCTATCCACCACTGTTCGCGATCATTGCGTAGGCTTCTTGTCAGCTTGTGCTTAAGCTGACTCCGCTCTTCGTTGTGTTCAGAGCCAGATGGAATGAGTTTTCGAGCATCTATCAGTGCGGTAGCTGCTGCTGAGATTCAGTGTTGCTCCCTAACCTTACGCTTTACCGTACTAGCAGATATCACTGCGGTTTCCACAGCTCTTCGGATATCATTCCATGCTGCCTCGGGGTGGGCATCACCTACATGGCTGCCTGTTTTTCTAGTGGATCCTGAAATATACTCTTAGCTTGACTATCATTAAGTAGGGCCCTAAGAGGTTTCCTTGCAGCATCTTTCTTACGTCCAGTAAGACGCAAGCAAATACGCGCTCGCACTAGAGCATGATCTGAATCTAAGCATATGCTCCAGAATGAGCGACAGTCTTCTATTGAGCCCCTCCATCGGTGGCTGATAGCGATGTGATCTATTTGGGTCCAACGTTGGGACGATTTAGGGGGTCACCATGTTAAAAGATGTTTTTCCTCATGCTTAAAGTTAGTAATTGCAAGAAACAGGCGGTTATCTAAGTATAGCTGCAACAGACGGTCGCCATTGTCTGTTCTTTGAGCCACGACACCATAAGATCCACCCAGGTGTCTTTCCCTTTCGCTTAGTTTACCTACTTGAGCATTAAAGTCACCAGCCACTATTACTACATCAGAGCGCCTAGCTTTTCGGAGGTCGGAAAGCTTTCTGTAAAATTCATCTTTTACATCATCTGAGCTGCAGTCAGTGGGAGAATAGGCAGAGACGACAAAGAGGCAACGACGAGTGTGCCTACCTTTCCGAGTCCTTACTGTTCCGTCTCGTCGTACAGCGCACAAACGACTGTCTACTGGGATCCAGTCTAAGAGAGCTATTTCTGCTCTAGGACTCGATGCTATGCCTACGCCGGCGAGGCCACGGGAAGCAGCATCAGGGCTTCCAGATACACGAAGTGTGAATCGAGTTGGCTCTCTATTTCGACATGGTGATGTCAATTGAATGACGCTACTCGGATCCTGTATGAGCGTTTTGGAGGCACAGCACATATCGATGGTGAGAGATTCTAAAGTCCTAGCTAAGGAAGCTTGTTGTCCTATTTGACACAGTGTTCGGACGTTATAAGCTCTAACATGGAGTTTAGAGCGTGATTTCAGGAGACCAGGAATAACGTTCCGCGTACTCCAATCGTTTTCCCTAGCGGTACGAGATGATAAAGGGATGTGATAAAGGTTAGTCATGGAGATAAGAGTATTATTAGGAAGTGTAGGAAGGATTTGAATGTGACCAACTTGGTCTCGTGTGCTGTTACGGGTATGAGGGCTGGTGTCACTTTCCGGCTGCCCACACCGTGGAAGGGTATTTCTTGAGGAACCTGAAAAGGAAATTGGATTAGTGTTGGTCTTAACGACCTGGGAGCATGACCGCAGAGCCCAAGGGACAACTGCTTGAGGCCGGTCGCGCACGGCCTTTACGTGGAAGGTTTTCAATGTGTTAGCTCCGTTCTTCAAAGGGCCTTACCACCGGAGACGGAAATCCGTGAGGTAAGGTGAGGTGTGACATTTTTAGGGTCGACCTTTTCTAACCCCACCCCTCCTTGTGGGAAGGCAGCATCGTTTCAGATGCTGTTTGTCTAAGGGAAACACCTTACTGCTGTCACACCCCTCTACAGTCAGCAGTACGACTTCGCCCTCAGACCTTGAGTTGCTGCTTTTAGTTTTACCGTTCTCCAATCGACCTGCCTGGCATTGCCAAACCTACAGGAACATATGTTCCAGCCAATATAGCTCGGTTGGGCCATCACGATAGGCAAGCCCGACCACCGCGTCAAGGTAGCAGCTACGATTAACTGAACTGATATAAGTTCAGTTAATCAGAATAAAATATCTCTTCCTAATTCAACTGTTTACGTAATTTTTTTTAGAGCATAACACTTAGCAATCAAAAACAAAGTATTACTACCTTTCATACCTCTTCTTCAAGAACCCTTGCACTTACTGGTGACTTTAATCAAGATTTAGCGGTCTCACATATTACACTGTTGTATGGCTTTCGTAACCTTTATTCAACCTGATTTCGTGCCTACCAGTGTAGCGTATTGGCGTAATGGGTAGATAGAAATGCGTAATACATACCGTAGCCACCTCAGTCGATTAAGTTTCACATCCTTATCGATTTGATTCACTATCCCTGTTTGACATCCTAGTCTTACATCCCGATTACACACTCTGGTCCCATTTTACACAGGAAATGCTCTGACAATATTTTTGGTCACAAACTAGGAGTTTACTCAGAGTATTTTTACTTTATAAT